GATGGCCGTGCATGCGCAATTACATCATCGCGCACGTGGTGACGTCACGTGCTGCACGATGACGTCACGGCAGGGTATCACCCAGTGTCCGCTCTGGGTGACACCCGGCCTCAGGACACCCCTGCTATGAGTATTGGTCTGTACAGGTCCCAATTCACAATGGAGCCATGTGAGGTTAATGCTTGTGGTTATTATTATTATACAGGATTTATATAGCGCCAACAGTTTGCGCAGCGCTTTACAAAACTGAGGGAGACAACAATACAATTTCAGTACAGGAGGTAGGAGGGCCCAGCTCGTGAGAGCTTACAATCTAGTAGGTTGCTCTTGTTTTATGTCTATGGATGATGCTGTGCAATGTACAGCACGGAGCAGAACACGGCTCAATTCAGAGGTTCTCTCTTCTCTCTCTCTCTCCCTCTACCTCTCCCCAGCTGCCTCGCAGACGGTTCCTCTTGGCGTGTAACAAGAGTACAGTGTGTCCTCTCAGGGCCACGGTGCTCCAGAGCAGCCCCTCACTAATCACTGCAACAACATCTGGGATTTTCTCCTTAATGACTTTCTACAAGAACTTTTTTGCTGCTTAAGAAAAACCAAAAACATTTTTTTCTCGTTTTCGACAGCATAGCGATTTAGATCTCTGTAACGATGTTATCTTCATTTATAAACCTCGAGGGGCTGAAAATAAGCACATGGAGTGAACTTGTAAACATCCAGAACTGTTTGTTGCTTGTGACTTCCCTTCTTAAAAGGGCAACTCCACTCCAAACTATGGCTAGTGGGTGGGCGCTGGTGGGCTGAATTATCTGCTGGTTTTCTGTATCTCTCAGAAATTTTAAGGGGTCTGTTTATAAAGCTGTGAATGTGGCGTCCATCAAGCATTCCCTGGTGGAGAATACATCACTATAATTTAAATCACATGGCCCTGGAAGATTCACCTGCAGGGAATGTTGGCTAGATGTCAGATTCACAGCTATACAAATATTTGTTGTGTTTGGCTAGAGTAATGAAGGGTTAAAACTCCCAATAGTTTGGGGAGATTTGTCTTTACCTTCTGTCCTGGAGGCCCAACTTGAAGTAAGAGAAAATCTTCCCAAAGTGACGGGAATTTCCTCCTTCAGTAGGTTATACACGGGTAGATTTTTGAATAAACTTTCATTTAAAAAATCCCGTCTGAACCATTCCATAATGCCATCAGAGACTTGGCGATTGCTGTTGGCGAGTTTCATTTCCATGTAACATTTGATTTTGGAATGAATGGAGTTTCCTGAGTGAAAACCAGGATTTGGATTTTGTTTGATCGAGAAACATTTTCCATGCTCCTTCGATTTTTTTCGTCACTGCAGTCGAAATCGACCATCGATGTGACCCCACCAACGATTAGAAAGTTGAACAAACATTCCAAAAACAATTTTTTGGGTTCGATATATTCTTACCATGTGCACACAGCTTTACTTGTCACTGAAATCGGTGTCCCTATTGAAGGATTTCCCCTTTATTCCTGCTCTGGTGACAACTGTAGAATGCTGGATTTCCCGTCACTTCCCGTCTCAGTGACAATAATCACCTGGACATATAGAGAAGGTGAATCTACCTTGAAGCAGTCTTGATGGGGTTCTATCTCTTCTCTTCAGTATCCAAAACTAGCTCTACATACACTTTAAGTAGCAAGATTTCCCCCGACTTTTTTTTCCATGTTTTCCCAAAAAGCCATAACGAAGGGGGTCACAATTTCACCGCTATGTTTGCCAGTTATTTGACTTGACTGCCTATAAATGGAATGATCCTCCCCTGTTGAACAGTGTCAAAGTGTCCTCTCCCATTGTTTTGGGGAAGGCGGGACTGGCAATAGCTGTGCCATAGGTGGCTTTGCTGGGATTATTTCACAATAATGCACCAAGTAACAAAAAGAAATGGTGAATGCTTCTAACTTTGTATAAGTAACATGCACACCACTTCAAAATAATCAGTGACATGCTACATTTCATAGCAATATAGTAATACTACTAACAAAACATAATTCACCACAGCATATAATACCAAAGAGGGGGACAAATATCATTCAATAAGGAGTATGCCTGGCAGGGCCATGTTGCTGTGTTCGACAAGATTCCCCCATCAGCTATGTCACTTACTGTAGTTGACATTTGGGTTGGCATTCCTTTCGCCCTGTTGCCTCTAAACCGAATCCATACTTTGTCTGGCAAGAGAACTTCCCAGTGGAGCTTTCTGGCATGCCTCATACCTGGCATGTTTTTGGGGTTATTTCTATACCGTGTAGCATTTTTGTGTCAGGTGATACCCAATCAAACAATATTTTCACTATGGGTCCAGTTTATAAATCTTCTTCCCAGCTTATATATTGGGTGAATGCCATTCACACGGCTTCCCTGCCACTAGATGAAGCTGTTAACATAGCAGTTCCTATGCTCCTCAGCTCCGTCTAGTTGTGGGAAAGTGGTTTGAATGGCATTCTAGCAGCGTATGGCATGGTTGAAGATTTGTAAATTGGCCCCTTATGGTTGCATTAAAGTGTATCTAAAGTCAGAGCTTATTTTTTAGTTTTCAAGTGTGATGAGGGATTAGAACCACTTTCAGGTTTCTAATGATGTCTGTGTCTTAGTTTAGTAGACTGACAGTATGTATTTGTACTGGTCACCACTGCACTGTCGCCAGGACTGAATATAATGGGAAACCCTCCCCATTCTTTGGAACTCTTTACCCCAACCTGTCCGTCTATCTCCCGCTCTGACTGCCTTTAGGCAAACCCTTAAGAGTCACCTCTTCAGGGAAGCTTATCCCACCTCAAACTAACCACTGAACTATCACATTCTCAAACAATTCATCCCCACACAGCTACCTCCTCATGTATCACTTCCCCCTTCCTTTTAGATTGTAAGCCCTCAGGGGCAGGGCCCTCCTTACCATCTTGTCTTGAATTGTACTGTAATTGTAATGTCTTCCTTATATTGTAAAGCGCTGCGCAAACGGTTGGCGCTATATAAATCCTGTATAATAATAATAGTTGTCAGCATAACGGGAATAGACTGGAGATCTTCCAAAGGGGACACTTGTTCCGGTGATAACCAAGTAGGCATTTTCTACTCTTTGGACGGGTTTTCTCTTACTGTCTATAGAATAGGAAGTGAAAAATATCTAACAGGTTTTTTCCCATTCCCTACTTTATCCAAAATGAAAACACAATTGGCTTTGGATACGACAAGTAGCTGATGCCTATTGTGCAAGTAGGAAAAGACTCATCTTATCAGGAGGGAGTGATGAAAACAGGTCATTAGAATAGGATCTCATTACTTGTAAAGTGGTGTCTAAAATACTGCTGAATGGTCATCCTTCTTGGACCTAGGATGCTGCAGTGACTTGCCGGGGGTAGATGGTATTTTCTCAGACATCCCTTCCTGTACCACTGCAATGCTTCAGAAGCTGCATAGCCATACAAATCATTGAAAAATTGGTTGTGATGGATTCCTGCACTTTGGGCACGGTTATTGCTCTTTGCGCTGCCCAATCGTGCAGTTTTAGAAGAAGACAGTTGGTGTGCTTTGTAAAATATGTAAAAGCTGCTTTGAATTCGCCTTTGTTCCACTCCTTACAGAGGGATGTGATCTGGTACAACATTCACATTGTCCTGGGTATGCATGTAATGCACAGAACAGCTGTTTGACCTCAATAGAATACAGTCTCTGGAAATCATCCATCATGTCTGAAGCTTCTCAGCGGACAGACCCAGCTGTGGGGATTTAAAGCGTACCTGTTCCCCTCATGCTGTAGAGGCACATGTTTTTTTTTTTGGTTAAAGCAGCTTACTTCCTATGGCTACAGATAACATACATATGACATACATGCCTGAGGGGGATTGAGGAATATTTTATAACTCTTGAAGAAGTTGGTCAGTTTCTCCTTGCTGTGCATTTGTATTCTGGAGTATGTATAGTTCTTTAGTATTGTTCATACTGAGCTCCCGAGAACTATATTGTAAAGCGCTGCGCAAACTGTTGGTGTTATATAAATCCTGTATAATAATAATAATAACTCTAGGAAGGAAAAGTAGAGTTGTTTCCCAGAAGAAAACTCCATGCAGATATATAAGACAGATCCATAGGAAAACCTACGTTGTGGTAGGAGCTGTGGACTCCTAGACGAGCTTAGTTGGACGTGTTCCAATGGTGCGTGTAGACATATTGGCAGCTCTCTAATCTCATAGAATTCTTGAGAGTGGTGCTGTAATTTACAGGAGTCCAATTGCCTATTGATTGTATCTTTTCCATGCATGGTCTTGTAGATGAAGAGAGACCCGGTAGCCCATGAATTGCGTTGGCTTTGTTTGCTGATAACAGGACCACTATGGACATACATCAGTGGATTGATACTTTTATCTGGGCCCATTCACACCACATCCAGACCATCTCCAGACCAAACCAGATTGTTTACGGACCCAAAATGCATCCTAATGTATCCCTATGCTATTTCTGGCCTCTGTTCACACCAGCGCAGTCCATTCCAGACCAGACCAGAAAAATACTGCATGTCTCATTTTGTCTGGTCCGGAATGCACTGGAACTGGTCCGGAAAATGGTGTGAATCCTTTCTGCACACACCTATAAAACATGACAGAGGTTAGAATGCCTCAACAAAAAAATAAGATACCGTTTAGTAACTACAGTTAAAGCTTCGGGGGTCTTTAATACGTTCATTTGTCACTGAATAGTAATTTGACACTGGATATTCACATTCTTGTATTGGGCCACCCATGTGTGACTGAAAAAGATAAAGTAAGCATTTGTATCTGGTCTGGTTTGTTGCATAAGATGAGTTTCTGCTATTTCCTGCCTGGCTAAAGCCCTGATTGTGGCTTATGGGGAGTGTATAGATGTTAACAGTTGACCTGGAGTCTCTGGTTATCAAAGTTTGAGAGTAGAATGTTTACAAACATTGGTTAGTTTCTGGTGATTCAATAAATGTCTGTTTTTCTGTTTCTCCAGGTAGGGACCAACGGCATTATCTCTACCCAGGATTTTCCCCGGGAGACGCAGTACGTGGATGACGGCTTTCCCACCGACTTCCCTGTGATCGCCCCATTCCTGTCCGATATAGACACAAGCAATGGAAAAGGAAAGATATACTACCGGCAGGACAATTCCCCGGAGATTGTCAGCACGGTGGCCCGACAGATCGAGAGAGGATTCCCACAAGCTGCTTTTTCTCCTACTAATGTTCTCCTGGTGACCTGGGACAATGTGGGGCCATACGAGGAGGTGACACGCCATTCAGAACCTTCTAATAAGGTGAGTGATGGAGCGTGGAGTCACTTCTTAGAACATTACAAGTGCATTACGTTAAAGGGCCAGTAAATCAGAATTATGATGCGACAGATGAGAGAACGAGTCAGGAGCACGGCTAGAACATTATTTTAGTTTCATCCAGTTACTAACATTATAACCCGCACACTAAAATCCCATAGAAGCCTTAACGTGTTCATGTCATCTCAATAGATGTTTTCAGTCTCCTTAGAGATGCAGCATTTATTAAAAGAATAACTGGTGGTACTGCCATGAAGGTCTTTGTTCAGTCACTTCCAGTTATGGGGTGACAAACTGTTTCCCAATTGTGTTTCTGCCCTGTCACTTGCCCTTGGTTGAGACTACAAGTGGCTCTACTAACACACATTACATTTGGAACCCCAGTATCACCTTAAAGGGGACCCGTCATGGCCAATATGCTATCACACGGGGGGCTTGTAAGCCTCCTATGTGATTGCAATTAAAGTAAAAATAAAATAGTCTTAAAAAAGATTAAATAAAATGTAAAAATGATTATAAAAAATGTATAACGTAAAAAAGCTTTGGCAGCGAAAGGGTCCTTAAGGGGTTAATGGGCAACTCTTAATGGCACTACAATGGCACTTGACGTTTTTGACGCCTTCCATGAAAGTGTGTCAAAGCGCACATTTTTTCCAAGTTTGGTGCACATTCTAGGAACACACTAGGGGGGCCTCGAGATTTTGCATAGTTTAGAAATGTGCCTTGACTCCTAAACGGTTGAGAAACACCGGTATAGACGGTTGCAGATGAGTAAATTCTCTGTGTTGACTATGTCTGTATAGAACACTTCCTGCAGATGTGATACAACCAGTCATTGTGTGATGATCATTTTCCGTTGTTTGTTTTTATTTCTTTGTTGGAAAATATGATAATATTCTGATGTATGAAAATGTTTTAAAAAGCTCATCAGAGGTGAAATAATGGACATAACATTCTACTCCTCGGGAAAGACATTTTCCTGCATAGTAGCCCCTGATGACCTTCTTTACACCCCGGCCATACATGTCCAGATCTGGCTGCATGCCTTGACTTGTGCCGGACTTTGGCCAATATTGGACAGATTTGGCAATACACCACTTAAAGGCAGATGTGACAACTATGTGACCAGAGCTTCCTCCATGTATATCAATATTGCTTGGGTGTGAGAGTTCATTGTGTCCTGCTGGGGAAAGGCACTCGTTTAAAGGGCCAGGGAGTTTTTAACAGGCCTGTGCTGCAATGGTAAATACTTTTGAAGGGTTAAATAGGAATAAGTATTTGCTGAAGTTAATTTTTTTAAGCTGAATTGTTAGCCGAGGGGTAGGCAACTTCAGCACTCCAGCTGTTGTGGAACTGCAAGTCTCATGAGGCATTGCAAGTCTGCAGCTACAGACATGTCTCCCACAGGCATGATAGGGTTTATCAGCAGTTGGAGTGCTGAGGCTGCCTACCCTTGTGTTGATAATATTAACTTAGGATGCATACTTTAAGGGCTAGTTCACACCAGCCCCAGTGTGTTCCGGCCCGATTGTAGCCCGGAATGCACTAGATCACATTGCGGCCGGCTCACTTTGTTTTGGGACGGGAGGGGGGGTGGCAGTGGATTGAACTCAATGGCACCGCAGCCACACCCTCCAACCGCAATGCAATCGCCCGTACCAGAAAGCGGGGCATATCAGTGCATGCGTTCAGGATCGGTGCAGTCAGAAAAAATAATGTATGCAACATTTTTTCTAACTGCACGGGACTGGAATGCAGGCACTCATGTGCCACGCATTCCCATTTGGCCGCTCGCACTGTGGGCCCGGAAAGCGTGGCTGCAGTGCCATTGAGTTCAATGCACCGCCACTCTCCCTCCCGCCCCGAAACAAAGTGAGCCGGCCGTAATGCGATCCAGTGCGTTCCAGCCAGAATCGGGCCAGAACGCACTGAGGCTGGTGTAAACTAGCCCTTGGAGTATTAGGCTGAAGTGCTTACCTGAAGAAAATGCTGCTCAAAGACCTAAAATCGGACCTGCAACATTTTCTCAGATGCAGCATACTATAACATGCATGATGTGAATTACTGTGCACTGCAAAGCAGGTGCAGGCCTCGGCCCTTATCCTGTCCCTACAGGGCTGAGACTGGGCCTTCCTATTGGCTGCTGAGGCTCCGTGTGTTACATAGTTGGAGGAAGGGGCGACGGTCACATTATTATCATACAGGATTCATATAGTGCCAGCAGTTTGCACAGCTCTTTACAAAATAAAGGGAATTACAATACAGTTCAATACAGGAGGGTTAGGATCCTGCTCATGAAAGCATACGATCTAAAGGGAGGGGCAAGGGATAAAAAAGGCATTCATTGTGAAGGACGAGAGAGTAAAAGTAGAGGTTGAGACAGCATAGGCTTCCCTGAAGAGATGAGCTTTCAGGGATTGGATAAAGGCAGACATAGTAGGAGATAGCCAGAGGAAGGGACAGGCTCTGGAAATGTCCTGGAGGCAAGCATGGGAGGAGTTGACGGGGAAGATAGGGAACAGGAGGTCTTGTATGTGGTGGAGAGGGAAGGCATGGTTTGGGTGATATTGTGAGAAGAGGTTGGTGATGTAGCTTGTAGTAGAGTTGTGGATGGCTTTGTATGTCGTTGCGACCCTCATTTGCAAACACTCTGATGGGGGAGCAGGAAAGTGTGGGAAAATCCAGCATTGGTAGTAAAAGGGTCTATAAAGGGAACCTGTTATTTTGTGGCTTCCTTAGACATCCATAGAAAAGACTCTATAACCCTGGTGGCGGCCAGATGGCCCATTGGACCCCGGACGTCTATTGTGGTAGTGGAAGCATTGCTTTGTAAAGAAGTAATAGCAGCAATGTCTACTAGCCTCATGTAACATGTCTCCAGTCTCTCACGGTCTTCTGCAGGATGTCTCCTGCCACACCTGTAGCATGTCCCCTAGTCTCCGACCATCATTTCCTTTTCTGGCCTGCCGTCTTTGAAAGTCCTCTCTAACATCACATAGACTGACATTAAGCGTGGGCCTTTGGTGATGTCAGGGGCCGCAGTTGAAGCTCCTCATAACTTGTAAGTTGACAACTACTGTAGGCTTCTAACTAAAAATAGAAGGCAGCAGTATTTTTTTTAAGGAGCATTGGTTATCTCCTGGGAATTCTGTCTTCAGGGCCACCAGAACATATCTCATTGAATGCACTCAACCCGTGCAGGTTATTTAGCGGACATGGAAGTTTTTGTTTTCATTCTCCCATGGGAATGTAATCCTTCATTTTCACTGACCCTTTGCAAACCAGCAATACCCTCTTGTTGACTCAGCTGTAAATGGCTCATCAACAGCCTCAGATCTTTTTTGCTCTCTTAAGTGCGTAGTGTTTGCCTAGAAGTCCAATCCTCTTTACAAACCTTGAGTGCCGCAGACTGCCAGCTTAATGCTTTCCCTGGCCTGGAATCTCGGGGAGGCCCTGTGCGTGCATGGCATGCCCCATTCTTCTCCGCTAACAACATCCATCTTGTTCACATATGACTGGAACTGAGGACCCCTGAAGGATGTGCTCTGGATTTGTGAGCTCATTAGATGTTTTCCTCCATGTGTTTGTTCCTGGAAGGGTAATTGTACCCCCTACTAGGATCAAGTGTGCATTCTCCAGTGGGGGCAACCGGGAATGATAATAACAGATTTCAAGTTTATTTGTTCAAGACTTTTTTTTCTTTCCCTTTCCAAACTAATTAAAAGAAGTATTTCTAGCTGCGGGAATGTGGCATGTGTTCCTTGAAGAGAAAATGGTTTGTGGACAGTTGTTTAAATAAAACAGGCCTGTAAAAGAAGAAATGTGGGTGCATTACCACGAGAGGAAGACACAGCTGCACGCACAGTGACCAGATTGGGCTCAGAGAATCTTCCACATATGGAGCACACAATGTATATAGCTGGCGGTGGCTTTTCCAGATTTTAGTCACAGTTCTGCGTTTTGTAGAATGTCAAGGGGTGGGATGTGCTGCCGCCTGGATAAAATCAGACTATTGTATAACAAACTTTTCATCTAGCTAGCATGTAAAATCTTTTGTTTGCACAGAATTTAGAAGGTTGTCATAGTTTTGTTGGCTTCTGTGATTCTGCTGAGATTTTGTTACTTCCTGTTAAGTCATCCGCACAGGATATAGAGGTAAAAACCTTTCCCCACCCCAGCTTTTATTTGTTTTTATTTTTTACAAAATTCGGAAAGTTTAGAATCTATCCAGTACTTGTTGCCATCTGTGTCCCTTTAAAGTGTAACTATAGTCAATTTGTTTTGTAATGTGGGATAGAGTGGAGAAAGGTTAGAACCCATGTCAGGTTTATCTGCTATCTGGGGTTCCATTAATGAGATTTCCCCTCACTTCCTGTTCTAGGGACAACCTTTTACCAGAAAGGAAGTGAGGGAAACTCTGCATTGGGAAAATAGACAGCACCAAAAAAACTGACAGGGGTGCTACCATTCTCCTACTTGAAGTGACACTCAACTCAGGCGTTAAATCTTAAAAATACATTCAAGTACCGTAACTATTAACAAAAATGTCTCTTATTTGTGTATCACTCGGCTGTAGATCCTCCAATCATCTCTGAATTGGTGCTGACACTGTCCTTTCTTCTGGAGGGGGGCTACTTTTTTTCCCCATGGTCCCTGTGTGTGGTGTAAAGTAGTCACCGCTCCAAGCTCACTCCCGGGATGGACTACAATCTCATGTTTAGTTTAATAATTTGTATTGAGATTGTAGTCCATCACAGGAGTGAGCTTGGAGCAGTGACTACTTTACAACACACACAGGGACCATGGGGAAAAAAAGTAGCCCCCCTCCAGAAGGAAGGACAGTGTCAGTACCAATTCAGAGATGATTGGAGGATCTACAGCCGAGTGATACAGAAATAAGATACATTGTTCATAGTTAAGACAACTTGAATGTATTTTTAAGATTTAACGCCTGAGTTGAGTGTCACTTGAACTTCAAAAAAAGG